CTTTATCGATTTTTCGAAACGATCGTTTTAATCCTTCTTAACCGAAACGATTAATATCTATCTCTCTTTCGAGTTTCTAACGATTATTGAACACACCCTATACCCACCTTTCACCTCTCCTCCCGCTTATCATTTCGCACGATGCAAATGGAGTACTAATTGGAAATAAAAAAATATCCTTCGTCGTTGTTAAGAAGAAAAAGAAAAGAAAGAAAAGAAAAAAAGCGAACGAAAGAAAAGCAAAAGAGAAAAAGAAAACGAAGGAAAAAAGAAACGAAAAGAAAGGGAGAAGGAAAGAAAAAAGAGAAAGTAGTAAAGAATGAAGGAGGGGAAAGAGGAGGAAATGGGGCGAAAAAAAAGAAGAAGAAGAAAAGAAAAATGAAAAAAAAAGAGGAATGAAACGAAAAAATGGAAAATGAAATACAAAAACAAAAAAAAAAAACGAAGGTAAATGATTGATTTGTCGTTGAGTCGTCGTTCTATAGTATCGAATCTATCTGGCGTCGTTACGAACGCTAGTTAAATTTCGATAGGTGCCCGGATGGATGAAACATGGTGTTGTCGTATCATTGGCCACGACGCATAACGCGCGACAAATATTCCGCAAATAAAAGCTCTCTCTCTCTCTCTCTCTCTGTGTGTCTCATCCCTCCTTTGGTGCTCCCTCTTTCCCCCTAACCCCTCGGAGCCCCGGCCCTCAATCTCTCTCAGCTCTCCTCCAGCCCTCTCTCGCTGTTCGTCCATCCATTCGAATGGGTTTTATTTAAAAAAACGAATCGTCGTCGATACGATATCGGTGGCTTCGTAGTGGTGTACGGCAATTTTTAACAAGTCGCGTTCGTGTCAACGTTGGACGAAAAGACTGAGGGGAATGAGGGGATGGAAGAGAGGAGGACGTAGGGATGGGTGGATGGGTGGTTGGTTGGTTGGATTGGAAATATCGAGGGATTGTGTAGTCGTCGTTGTCGTTGTCATTGTCGTTGTTCATCGTCGTCGTCGCCGTCGTCGCCGGCGTCGTCGTCATCGTCGATAGTGTATTGGTGATGGTGACGGTGGTTGATGGTACTGGTGGTGGTGATGGCGGTGCGGTGGTAGTGGTGGTTGCCACCACCGGTGGGCCTGGCTTATCGACGCACCTTTTATTTTATTCCGCGAGTGTGCTTTTTGCGCTCGTTGCTCGTTTTACGCCACCGGTTTTTCGCCTTTTTTGTCGAACGGTGGATTGCTCGGCAACTACCAATCAGGATCATCTGACAGGAAATACCCCACCACCTCACTCACTCTCTCTCTCTCTCTCTCTCTCTCTCTCTCTCTCTCTCTCTCTCTCTTTCTCTCCACCTACTACCCCTATATATATGTGTGTGTGTGTATGTGTATGTACATATATATGTGTATATATATATATAGATAGATAGATAGATGGATATATATATATATATATATATGGAACTCTCTATACGTTCACTGACCAATTTGTTCGATAAAAGCCCTCGACTGATTGGCCTGACAACGCGGCCACGGCTCTTTTTTCCAAGCTTGAAATTTACCGTGGTAACCAGCAGTCTCTCTCTCCTTTCTCTCTCTCTCTCTCTCTCTCTTTCTCTCTCTCTTTCTCTTTCTCTCACTCTTTCTCTCTTTTAATTCCTCGTATTATCTCTATTCTTTTAACATTCTCCTTACTGATTTTATTCTCATTTTATTTATTTATTTATTTATTTTTCTTTTTTGGTACTTTTCAAAATTCATTTCATCAATTATTTCCTCCGTATTCCCTCTCTCTCTCTCTCTCTCTCTCTTTATTTATCTATCTATCTGTATCTTTCTTTCTCTCTCTCCCTCTCTCTCTCTCTCTTTCTTTCTGATAGTACGTAATAATGAAAAGGTTAGACGATACGCGATATCTAACATCGTACAAAGTATACGGATCTCGAGATAGGAAAAGTAAAGACTAATCGGAATAGACCTGTTGTCTCATTGTTTGTCGATACATTAATTTCGTTGAAAGAGTTTTCTTATCGTCATTGAAAGTAGAACAGAAACCTATTCTAAAATTCCAATATCATCTCGAGCTCCGTTAACTTTATAAAATAAATTTTTCTCTTTTTTATTTGATTTTTTGATCCTTGGTAAATTATATTTGGTACATATATATATGTATATGTGTGTATCTGTGTATGTATGTGTGTCTATACATACGTGCATATGTATACATATGTATACAGTTAACTAAGTTATTAGAGAGAGAGAGAGAGAGAGAGAGAGAGAGATCCTTATCGTGCTAATAAAATTCGAGTAGCCAGGCAACACAGTCTAGCTAGTCGATGCGATGCATTAGACGTGTAAACATCTACTATCTATAGTCCGTCCTACGAGCAATCTGTCTTTCGACGTTGTCTCACTTTCGAATTAATAGCTTGTAATAGCCGTTCGAGTGCTAATATAATATATCGTCTCGTTCACGTCGATGAGTCGATTGACATTGTCGATGGACAACGATAACGTTTTATAAGCTGTTAGAAATTATTCGCTTTGCCAATAAACAGATATTAATTCGACTAATTTTTTCATAATGAAATATATTGCTGTTTTTTTCCTTTATTTATTTATTTATTTATTTATTCATTCATTCATTCCTTTTTTTTTCTCTTTTCTTTCTCTTTTCTTTCTCTTTCAAGATCAATCGCTTACGTTTAAGCGTTAACTAAACGTTAACTACTAGTTTTAATAATTCTATTTATTAATTCTAATTATTATTTAGAAATAATTACTCCAGGGAATATTTTTTTTTTCTCATAAAATATATCTACCGTATATATCGTCTAAGTGTAATCCACGTACAGGAGTATTATATATTTTAAAGAAAATTTGGATGTGACTCATTGGCCAATTCGTCTTATTGATGAGAAAAAAAAAAGAAAAGAAAAGAGGACAAGTTTTTATCAACAACTATAATAAAATAGTAATGCTAATTATCGAGGAATAATTATTATTAACAATCTTTAATAAAATATATCGATTTACTAACAATCTACTAATTCAAATGATTCACTAATAATCTAGTAATTCTCTCGACAGCATTAATCCGATAATTATAATACAATAATTTTCGATATAAAATATCGCCACGTTATATCGTATACGTTCATTAAAATATTTTAGATTGAAAATTTCAACGTTACTTATCATTGACCCAATCCCTTTTACACGAATTTTCATATTCCTATATAAAGCCTTAATTTTCATGTATATGAAAATTATTAATGATAAAATATATATATATATATGTACATACACATATATTAAATTAATAGATCCAATTGATATCTATATCTAGCTATATCTAAGAATTAGGTGGAATAAATAAAAATAATTTTTTGCTTATAACGGTATCGGCAAAAAAAAAAGAAAAAAAAAAAAAAAAAAAAGAATTAATACTTGACGCGTTAGTTACTGTACATTTACGTGCGTTCATGTGTGTATATGTGCGCGTGCGTGCGCGCATGTGTAAGTATGTGTTTGTATGCGTACGCGATGATATTTGTCGTTTATCCTAACGCCAGATAGGATAGCAATCGGTGTAGGTAGGTATATATCTCTTTTCTGGGATCGGCAGGGTACGCGCATCAATGACAGCTTAGCGAGACACGATTTATGAGGATCGTTATCGGCTTTAACGACCGTTATCGTGTGTGTATTCGATTTCTTCGCAAATTATTATCAAATCATTAATTTATCGGAAAGATTGCGTAAAGAGAGAAAGAGAGAGAGAGAGAGAGAGAGAGAGAGAGAGAGAGAGAGAGAGAAGGATCTCGCACTTCGTCTTTTTTTCTTCTTTTTTTTGTGACAAAGAAACAAGAGAATGATTTTGCGAAAGACTAGTAGTATTATGTACCGAAATAGGGACGTACACGAGTTCAATTTTATTCTCTCTCTCTCTCTCTCACTCTCTTTCACTCTCTCTTTCTCTTTCTCTTTCTCTATCTCTATCTCTCTCTTTTTCACGAGGGTCGAAATGCAAATCTTCACCACTCCCTTCGATTTTATTTATTTCCTGTTTGGGTACCTGCCTATAGTATTTTTTCTTCTTTTCCTTTTCCTTTTTTTTTTTTTTGTTTTTTTTTTTGTTCGAAACAAATTGAAGGCGGGGTTGAGAGGAAGAGAGGGTAGGAGGTTGAGGGGATGAGTGGGTAGAGGGAAAAATGTAAGTCCTCGAACGTGTCGATTTCTTATCTCCCGTTCGCGTCAGAACGAAGATTATTTGCAAATCATTTTTCCAAATTAATAGTTACGAAACGAGCCGATTCATATTGACGATAATAATATATAATAATCGATTAAATGCCAGTAGGTAGTACCTATAATCGTATAATCGAATCTCTAAAATCCTCAATAATAAGATCTCAATTGTTAAATGATTCGCGATCGACGATACTTAATTACGATAGTAAAGAGAATGTAAAACATTAGATACCGATAAATTTTTTAATCCTCGACGAGAGAAAAAAATGATAATTTATATAACCTCGAAGAAAAAAATGATAATTTATATAACTTTCATATCCGATCGTTAACTAATCGAATCGAATCGAATAAATTTATCATTTCGAGTTTAACAAATATTTTCTTTCTCTTTCTTCCACTTTTTTTCCTTTTCTTTTCTACAACGAAATTGTTTTTACCGTACTTGGATGCTATTTTACAACGGACTAAAAGATAAAACTCTTGGCATTTATCAAAGAGTATTACTATAACGATAACACTTATAACGATTAACAATAGTTTTATCGAGAACGATATAATACAATACGATTCGAGATACTTGTATCGCGAAACACGAAAACTGATGAGCGTTTTCGGACGATGATGATGATGACGATGACGATGACGATGATGATGTAAAAAAAAAAAGAAAAGGAAAAAGAGAGAGAGAGAGAGAGAGAGAGAGAGAGGGAGAGAGAGAGAAAAGAAAAAGAGGGAGAAAATTTGATAGGAAAACTTACCGGCTAAGTCAGCGGGTAATCTGGGATACAACATTCCAGTTCTGGCTAACCACTCGAGTTGAAGTTGATGAATGTGATGTTGTTGAGGATGTGGGCCGGCCGATTGAGGATGTCCCACCGGTTGACCCTCCTTGTGTATCGAGTGAAAAGCGCTACCACCGGCCGGATGATAGTACAATCCCCCGGGATGAATGAGAGGTCCTCCAGGATGTAACAAGAGTCCTTGATTCTGTCTGACCACTGTACCTGTACCGACGGCATATGGTCCGGTTGGTAGACCTTGATGTCCAATGACACCGTTACTCGTAATTTCCTCGGAACCAGGTGATATCGGTGGACTTGATGCCGGGCTACGGCTACCATTGCTACCAGGACTTGTACTGCCCGTTGTCCTGTTAGGATCGACGTCTACCGATACGTCATCCTCGACATTTTCCACCAAACGATCATTTCTATATACAGTACCGATCGTCGTGCCACGTGGTATCTGTACATTCGTATCACCGTGTATACCGGTTAGAAAATTGTCCCGCGTAGTTTGGCCCTCGTGAGAATCGACGATAGCCGTCGGTGTTATAGATCTCGGATGTTGAACGAACGGATGTAAAGGATTACCAAGAGATCCGGTTCTTTGATCCTCGTTACGTCTTAACGAACATGGCGACTGGCGTTCCTGCGATTGAACATTATTTATCAAATTCAATGAATCCTGAACGTTATGAACCCTCGTAAAGAATTTCTGTCGATCTTGATCG